TCCCTTTCTCACCCCGACCCAAGAAATTGGCCCATTTTTATATGTTCGTTTCATTTTCCCCCCCCCCCCCCCCCCCCCAAGAGTTCTAAAGGTGATGTTAACCGAAGAATTAACTTCGAACGGCCTAAGTAAAAAATTGGCGATAACCGAATATTTGCCGATATCAGTAACATAATGATTCTGACTCGGTAACTTATCGATTCTGTCACTGGAAAATTTTTCAGCTGCTCCAGAATTTATGAAAACAACTAATAATAAAGAACGAAATTCAAGATAGGTTTATGAATACGTCATTCTACCAAATAAATTGAAAATTTTTCGGCTAAGTCGACTAAGCCGATAAAACTTTATTGGCTTAGCCATTTAAAATATTTTGACCGGTTTGGAACACTAATAATTTGTTAATGAACGAATGAACTTAGTATGCAGTACAACGAAAATTCGAATTTTTGTTTCAGAATCAAAGTGAAGCAGAAGAGTTTTCGAAATTTGTAACAAAAAATCCTTGGAAGAGCGCTTATATTTCGTTTTTTACACTCACACATGTAATTTAATTTTTTTAATTTCAAAAAAATCACCAACGATTTAAGTCTTGGCATTTGAAATATATACTTGATTCAAGTAAATGGCACATAAAAAACCTCAGAGTAGTTGAATTTTTTTTTACCATGGCTGTAGTTTTCCTATGAAATAATTTGACAATTTAATACGTTCTTTAGCATAACAATTTCTTTTTTTTTTGAATTAGTCTTGCAAAACATTGCATTTATTTAATGAAATATATTTAAAACGTCTAATTGCATGAAATAAAGGAGCTACATAGTAGACTCATACTGGGCTGGTTTCACGTTTGAGCACTTTAAATTAATTGTGTATCTGCATTTCAATGTTTCAATCCGACGATAAAAGATAGTTTGAACTGACAAATCTCAATTGGTTTTAATAATACTTACTTCTGCATAGTAATGGAACTTTATTCATTATTTCTATATATGTATAAAAAGGATATAATCAAATTCTGATTTCAAACTACAACTACTATCATCGAAATAATAATTTCGATTAGACGAAATTTTCCAAAAATCGGCCGAAAGCTGATGAGATTTCGGAAGTTCGAACATTACTTAAAAATAAGATAGAATATGAAATAGGAGCAATGTAGCCATCAATTTTCTTTTACCGCATAACATGTTTGACCAATAGAAATGCAAAAGAATAAATATTAATAAAATTAAATTAATTAACATTTTTTTTATAAATGTCGAATTCTGAAAAATTTTTATAACTATAGTTGTCCAATAGAAGATTACGAATAGAACAATAGAGCAAATTGGGAGTAGGTTAGTAAAAACGCTCCAAATTTTTTTCATGGCAATTTTTTTAAAAAAAAAATTTTTGAACAAAAAATAACAAAAATAGCTTAATCAAACTCAATAAATTTCTTTTTAAATCAATTCTATATAGAATTCATTAAAACTTTATACCAAATTTGATTAAGCTATTTTTGCTAAATTGTTTTTGTTTAAAGATTCAAAAAGGCTCATTAAAAAAGATTTGATGCGTTTTTTGCTGACTCACTTCATTTTTCTTTACATATAAAACTTCTATTTATAATATATTTATGAATTGAATAAAAGTTAGTAAAATTACGGGAAAAAAGCATTATTGATCAAAGTTGATTATTAAAGCGAATTTTCTGTCCCACACTTTCGGCGTGATTATTTACCGAATTTATTCCGTTATTATAGAATATGTCTTTTGATATAATTACTAATTTAGTAATAAATTGAATCATTTTAGATTTAAAAATAGTCATATGGGCGCATTTTTAGAATGTATAGTAATGATGCACCTCATTTGGCATAAAGAATTATAGCATTAACGCACTTCGGACCTAGATCAATTGGTTAGCCATATGGCTGACTAATTGATCTAGGTCCGAGGTGCGTTAACGCTATGTTCGAAACATAAAACTGATTGTATCCTTATATAAATAAAATTAATATAAAATAAATAAATTTTTAGTTAATATAAATGCTATTTATTATATTATGTATTTAATAATAATAATAATATATATATGAATAAATTCTAAACTTAAGTAGATTCATATTACAAGTCTCAATCATTGTATATAATTTTATACAAGAGCTCTTAAATATATTTTTTCACAAATTTATTTTTTTTATTTCAACGCCTAAATATGTATTGAAAATTTAATTTATTATAATTAGTTAAAATTTTTGATATACGGATTATTTAACTTATATCAATTTTGATTAATTTCGAAAAGAAAATATATTTTATTGACCGTATCATTAGTTATCATTGGTTAAAATCATTGATCAAATTATTGATCAAATTTTATTAGTTAAATTTATTGGTCAAGATTCATTGATTAAATTTGATCAACCTTCTTTTTAAATATACTGTATATATATTTACTTTAATTTGTCAAGGGTTTATTTAAAATTGCCAAGGATTTATTTTAAAATTGCATCATTCGTCAAATTACAATTTTTTACCACAAGTAGATATTGAAATATAAAGTAATAATTGTTACCCATATCAGTTAACAAACATATGTGGAATGACATAACATAATCAAATATGAGTTCGACTTTTAATACTGTACTATTGAATTTCCGGACTAAAAAATCGAGATGTTGATTTATGTTATAGAACAGTCTAAAAAAAATACCCCCTGCAGATGAACACTATCAATTTAATCGGTTCACAAAGTTTTATAGCCTATCAACGATCATATTGTTTATCAAAGACTACATAATTTAATTATCAATGCCTTCTGAATTTAGTAATTCGTACAATCGCGCCTTTTTTACATATGTAAGTACGCATTTAGGGATTTGCATAACAATATTCCTAAATATATCGTAATTTATCTTTTGTTATACCCTAAAATCCAAATAAGAAACAAATCAAAGCATTTATTATCTTTAAATTATGTACTAGGTCTTCCGAGGTAAGACGGAAATATATTCAATTTTTTATTAATGCGTTTTCAATTTCTTATTAAAAAGGTTTGGCCATGCTACACGCGGTTGTTAAGGTAAATGCGTAATTAAGATGTTACTTATGCTGTGTAATCTTTACTATAAATCCCTTTTAGTGAATATTTTTGCGTTTGCTTTGATGATTTTGTTTTGTTTACTTTCAATGTTACAATAAAGAAACGCCTTCGCGAAAATCCTTTATTATATGCTGCATTTATAGTAACGATTCTAGAATAACCAAGATTAAATAAAACATTGGTCACTGCGCATGAACATTATCGCTTATTTCTTGCTCATTTGTTTGGCATGTTAAAGTGACCATACATAATTGGTCAGCTTTCTTTCACATTCACGACATGGTCACAAGCTCTCACAAATTTTCATAACACACTAAATGATTGAACAAACAACATCGCATCGCAGAAAAAAAAACTGCAGATTATATAGCAAATGGGGACTGTGTCCTTATCAATGATATTACGAAAATACCCGTACAAAAAAAAAAAACCCCATAAAAACTTTGCTTAATAAAATGAAACTTACAAATACTCCCATAATATTCCGCATTGTAAGACACTTCTCATGACTATTTGTCTCACTAAATATTTCCTTATTTTCCCAATTTTCCAACGGTGCAACGCTTGACCGGTTCACATTTTGCTAATCGGGTTCACCTTTTTTAGTTAGTTTAAGGCTTAAAGGGCGTATTGACATCCACTATGCACGAGCTGGTAACTATAACGGGACTTGTGTGTTAAACCAAAGAAATTGGCATAACAAGGTTTATCCGAACAAGTCCGAGATTTTTCCGCTCTTGTCGATTTACTGAATGGTTTTTTTTGCGCCGTCGTTTTTTTTTTTTTTTTTTTTTTATACAATTTTTTTTTTACTCAGCAAGTTGTTTTTCACGACTATAATTGCATTTTTTACGTACATTGTGTAACAGTTATGTATACAAATTTCTTTGTTTATCGATGTAAGTTCATGTCCTGAAGGGTTTTTTTTTTTTTTTTTTTTTTTTTTTTTTTTTGGCTACAGTCATTGTTTAATATATATTTTTTTTCCTCCTACCGTTCCTTTTCACAATATCTAACTTTAACCTTTTTTTTTTCTTCGTACTTTCATCTTTTAATAATATTCTTCATAGCTAAAATAAAAGGTATGACTAAAAAATCCTCTGCGTATAGACTGAAGGTCACAACTGCTTGCCAAAATTGTCAACGTCGAAAAATAAAGTGCTCGGGCGAAATCCCTTGTACCTATTGCTTAAAGTTGGACCGTGAGTGTCAACCCGGGAAACCTGGAAAAAAACGTGGCCCACCTCCCGGGCAAGAAATTATAAGAAGTCGAAATAGTAGGTTGGAAAGCATCATTAACGATGCTGTTAGGGATCCAAAGAAACGTGAAGCATTAATGAATGTTGAAGGAATAGAACCTGAAGTTCGACATGGAATTGATCTATTAAGATATAGAGATGAAAATGAACTTCAAGTTGTTGATTCTCTTACTAGATTAAGACATGTACCGCACTCGGAAAGTGGTCCTCTAACAAAAACTCCAATTATTAGGGATTTAAATGGTCAACGTAATGTATAAACATTTATTTATATTTTAATTACATTCAATGTTTTATTATTATATATTTAT